AGTCTGTCCTGCTATTCAACTCAGAGCTGGGGGAGGAGGAAACGAGATGGATTCATACTTATCACAAGGGTATTCACGCGTAAGTAAATTTAACGGACCCGAGTGGAATTCGAACCCGCCTCTCCGATTTCTCATTTCTTCATTACACCACAACGAGCACGGTTAATCTTAAAAATATGTTACTGGCATGCCACAATACTTAACGTAAAAGAGAGTAAGTTTGTGTGTACTTGAGTAAAGCATTCTTTCATAATTTCTTTTATATAATCCTGCAATGATAACAAAAAGCTTTTACCACCATGATCACCCTTAACCAGGAATATAGTTTGATTATGAAATATTAAGTGTTTTCAAATTATATATATATATATATATATATATATATATATATATATATATATATATATATATATATATATATATATATATATATATATATAAAGCTCAGATCTGCTCACTTAAAAAAAAAAATCATATCCAAAATGTAAACAAAGTAATTTCGAAGGAATTAAGGTGTGTTTACGTTTTGTGAGTGTGAATATATATATATATATATATATATATATATATATATATATATATATATATATATATGAGAGAGAGAGATTAGCGTTTTCCAAAGCTCAAAAAAAATTAACGGTTTTAAGTTTAACTGAAAAACGTAAATATTGCTTAAAAGTAATCTAATTCGCTATTATTTATTTTATTCACCCTATTTATATTCGGACTATTATCCTCATCTTTGTTGTTATCACAAAGTTTCAGCCGTTGTGCTCTCCGGTCTTTCTCAGATGTATATCTATATGGATAAATAACAGGGAATTCTGAAATTAACCCTTTATTTAATCTACGATGCTAGACTGTTCTCGTTTCACTGCTTATGTCTAGGGATATCATCTAGTTCTTATTTTATCAACTACTATTCAGTTATTGCTTGCTCGTTTCTACTGAGTGCAAGTACTCACTGCCCGACCCAGGGACTGAACTTACACCCACTATGTCACCAAATTCAGTAAATTTAAAGCTTTAAACATTACCTAGCTGATGATTAGTTTGCCACTACTAATGTTGGCTGTCACGTTTTTGAGAATTAGACGTTCGAAAAAATCGGCGCATATGCGAGGCTATGGAGACCTCCTTAGGCTTAGGATAGAAATAAGATATACACCTGAGGAATGCCGGAGAGTACAATGGCCGAAACGTTGCGAGAGCAACAAGAAGGATACAATATTCCGAAGATAGTGTAAATAACTCCTCAGCACAGTAATTCAGATAAATAATTTTTTTATTATATATATATATATATATATATATATATATATATTTATTCATGAATTATTCATACAAAAACAAAAACAAAGGTTAATGATTTAATTGGCGAGAAATCCATCGTCGTAAACAATTCAAATAATATACAAAAACCTCCGAACCTGTTATGAATGAAAAGATCCTTGTTTTTATAAATTTCTGTTACATTAGTTCTTATTTTTACTACAAGCTTTCGTCTGTTCCTACAGACATCTTCAAGTATGGAATAGATGTTGTTCTTGTTTTTTCTCTCAGTAATAAGAGGACAACGAAAATATATGTATTGTTGTATCCGAAAAATGCTATTAGAAATGAGTTATTGTTTTTGGAGCGTGCAGTAGCAACGCTGAGTTTGATTTTAAATTTTACAATTGTGTGTTCTTGTACAAATATGGTGATAAGAAATTCTTTTTACTGGTAAATTTTCTGTCAAAGTGGCATGAACTATATTGTTCAATAATTACAGTAATGTCGCACTTATTATCCAAAAGTTGCACTTGGATCAGTTATTTTAATTTCAATAAAGGTGCAATCAATTCATGAATTATTCATACAAAAACAAATAACAAATATATATTTATTATGATTATCATATTTATTTGGAGTTATGTATTATTTATTTATTTCAACTTTTTCCATAGTTACCTGTTTTTTTCTGTATTAGTATTTATTTGTTTTTGTATAACTAATCTGAAGATCGTTTGTATTATTTTTACTTGCTTTTTTTGCTTATCTAAAGTTAATATTTACCAACTTTGTATTTTCTACTCTCCTTCATTTATTATCAATTGATAGTTTAGGTGTGCAAATGATTTTATTGTATGTTAAATAAGGACTTCATAATCTCCGAATATTTTAAACTTTAATTCCGATATATATTTACATTTTTCTTTCTGCTACCTTTTTCTAAAATAAGCCAAATTTTGACGTAAATCAAACGTTATACAGTAGAAATTCCAGATCTAAATATAGCTAATAACTGTCACATATTACGGAATTACTGATAAAGAAATATATATAAAAAAGGATCCTTCCCGAGCTCGATCCCTACAAAAGTCTCTTAATGTGAAAAACTCAAATTTACTGGAGGCTTGTAAACACCACTTAAACAATTTAATTATTTCCAAAATGCCATCTTCCAGGAGGATAGAAACAAAACCTGCTTAAAATGCAGCAAAAGATGGAACAAAATGGCGCATATATGGCTGAATAAATTTATATACATATATTTAAATATTGTCTTAGAAATTCACTTAATAATCGAACTTGGTTATATAGTATAATTTCTAGTCTAAGAAAAATAAATAAAAATTATCTATGATTTTTTTATCTCTTTGTCGCCTATAGTTTAGATTATTTCCTTTATATAACCGTATATACTCGTGTATAATCCGCGTTTTTATGACCAGTTTTATACGGAAAACGTAGGTGGTTGAACTATACAGAGTATTCTTTTCTGGTAGGGTTAAAATTTATGTAAAATGACGTAAAATAACGCACAATACATGAGGTTGGTTTATACACGAGTATATACGGTAAACATAGTAGCAATCGACACGTGACCGAGTAAGACTACTCCTAAGAAAATTTTAGGGATAATTTCCATCCTGTTGATGATGTTTTAAATATTTGAGTTCAGAGTCACGCCATTTAACACCCCACACGAAGTATAAGGTTGGCATTCTTATTCACCTTTTTCAGAATTGTCCGAAGATCACCATTGAAGCTGTTTATTTCATCCTGGGACTGACAAGAGTTGGCGCATGCCAACTAATCAATTTCAATTGTCTCGTATTAATTTGCCATATATGTGCATGTACAAATGTCATTATGCGGTCGGAGAAACCATGAGGAAGTTATGTCAAACACTGCACTAAGTGCGTTTTAAAAGTAAAACATCACGACGAAGATTTGATGAGCGTCCTTTGTAAAATAGACTGCGGTTCTACTACTTAACAATCACCAGGAAGTCTCGTTTCTGAAAGTACGACTATGTCAAGGTTATATCAAGACAATTCCTTAATAGAATGTATGAGCCGCTCAGAATAAGCGGATCTTCGAAACATAAGAACTGTGCGTACATTCCAACACGCTGTATATTTTTATATTTTTCATGAAGGTGTTTGTTCATGATTTGTGTTAGGGGTTGCATTTCGCCCGCATCAGCGAACAGATTACCAACCAAGTACTGATCAAATCTATGGTGACAAGCATTATTTAGAACACCTTTTTAAAAGCACGCAGATGAGGAATGCTTTATCTGAAAATATCTACTCATTTACTAGGAATGCTTCCGAATTCTTTCATTGCATTTCAATATGCATTTCATCCAGTTACAGACAGAAAACATCGGCTGTGATGCTCTAATTAAATTCTGGAAAACTGTAATGGATAACGCCAATGGTGAACCACCAGACGATAACCATGATCTTCTGCTGGTGCCATTTCGGTTTTGGAAAGTGTTTGTGTCCTTCGTCAGGATCAAAGCCATTGAGCTGATCGTTTACGGTTGTCATAAAGGATACATTTCTAATCGAAGGTCACTATTCAGTCAAGAAATGGATCATTCGAATTTCGCAGATGTAGCATCGAACACTCTAAAACATCGAACTCTGTAACTTTCACTAACTTCACATAATGGTACCACATAAACCCTTTCTTTTTTAACAAGATTATAGCAACACAATTATAACGGTAACAAAATCTTTTAGTGTACATGAATCCAGACTATAGGAAAAATCACGTTTATATTTTTAATTAAGAAAAAAATATATGATATAATGGCGCCATAAGTAGGCGATCTTTTAACACATTATGATCCTCCTTGGTATGACGTTAAACTGCATCCGGCAGCAAGGTCACTGATCGGGAGATTGGAGGTTTTCAGGAGCGTTGAATCATCTCTCAGTTGTTGTTGTTCCCAGGTCCACTCTGGTCCGAGGTGGTAGAATCGGTTAAGGTCCCACCTATGGGTAAAATCAACGGTACGTTTTTGTTTGTTTGTTTTGTTTTTTTTGTAATAAACTGAGCAATAATACATTTTTGAAATAAAATGAACAACAATACATTTTTATAGCAAAATGACAATCAATGCAACACAAAAAATATATAAAAAAATGCATATTTATAGTACAATTACCAACAATGCATTTTATGATCTTCAAACTATAAAGAACATACATTTACTCTGAAAGTATAAAACTACGTACAAATATTAAGATGTCGGTATTAAATAACCCATAGAGATGTTGACATGCCGCCAAGCAAAAAAAAAATCAACCAAGATATTATGACACGACAAAATCATCTTTTAGCGTTTTAGCATCAACAAAACTAACAAAACAAATATTTTTAATAATTCCAAATTTTTGAAAGTATTGTCACCACAAGAAAATATATTTTAATAAGCTATTTCACTAGTACTGCGAAAGGACAACATTAATTTGTTTTTTTACGGATTATCAACCTTTTACGGGTTATTTGAAGCCGGAAAATATTTTTAGAGTGCAAGAATATTTTGTAAATAATAATGATTTACTGATACAAGTCTTACGGAGTAACCTATAGCTGGGGGAGATGAGATGGATTTATATTTTCCCAAGGGTATTTGCGCGTAAGACTGGAATTAGAACTCGCCTTTCCGATTTCCAATTCTGAGCCGGTGTATGTTACACCACCCGCATATCCAAGTTTACACTACCTGGTATTCCCAAGCGGACACGCATCTAGATACTGACCAGGGTCGATGTTGCTTAACTTCGATAATCATACGAGAACCGGTGTTTTACCGTGATATAGCCGCAATCCGAAAGCAAGTAGAAGCAAAGGTATAAGAAAGGTGCTGATTGGGCATAGAACTGCACCTTCCTTGTTTTGATTGGCGCAAATTTATCAATCATGTCTTCAAAATCAACGTTTTCAGTTTCTTCACTACGACCCCCCTCCACCCACACAACATTGCTAGGTCAACACAATCTAGCTTGGCAGATGGATGCTCACAAATAGAACCAAATTAGCATCAACTTCCTGGAAGCTCTCTCGCAGTTCACTAGGGAAATTGGAATAATGTAAAGAGCAAGGAGGAGATTTGGGAACACTCTCATCCCGCCATATTGAACAAAAGATTTTAGAAGCTCTTCAGGTTTTGATAATTTGATATTGACTCGATTTGAGAAGCGCATTCTACAATCTAAAATGTTTCCAGATGATTTAATGTCTAATTAATGAATATTACACGACAAATGATTTGTTCAGTGGCGTCATTCCCCACTCCGCCAAGTGGCGCCCATGGCACGCGAACCAGACACAACTACATCGTTTCAGCATCATGAATAAGAGAATAAAACGTTTCTAACACTTCTGCTTTAATTGTCACGTCAGTTTCATCACAACCTTCAGTAATCTTTAATATTTCGTATCTCGTGGGACGTTATGTAGTCATCAGACTCATTGCAGGATGTCATTATTAACGAATTCCATATTTGGTTTTGTTTTAATTATTTCGTCCCAAGCAAGGTAATAAGGCCACCAAGACAAAAGGGGTTATGTGAAGGCGCATTGGAATAGCGGAAGATGCCTTAGAAAAGCTAAACAAATGATTAAGAAACAGGAAACTTTCAGAGAAAGAACCGGAAAGCCAATCCTAAACGACATCGTTTCAGTATCATGAATAAGAGAATAAACAAACTTTTCTAACAATTCTCCTTTAATTGTCACGTCAATTTCATCACTTGAGTAAATCTTTCATGAGACGATATGTAGTCATTAGTGTTAGTGCTGGATGTTATTGTTGACCATATTTGCTGCAGTCTCTGAATATGGAATCCAGTGAAGTCCATAATCTGTTCAATATCAGAGGTCAGCAGTGAAGATTCAGAGAAAGTAGCGGTTGTTAAGTAATTCTTTAAGTCTTCGATATCAGGTTGGCAGTGCCGACAATTTGGGAGAGAAAAAATTGCTGCCTTTATACACGTCGCATTGAATATTTTGAGCTTTCTGATTGGTTAACCCTTCTATTGGTGAACTATAAAATGAGTCAACTCATTGAGGCTAGCTCATTAGTACACATATATCCAAAAAACTGCAACAGTTATTGCTAACGAATTTCATTCTTATATGGTATTTCAATATATTGCCTTGTGTTAGGCTGGATGCGCCAAACTTAACAAATTCGTTCTGACATTGTTTTTCGCCCAGAAATCAAAGATTATAAAACTGATTCAATATAATAACGATAGACGACATTTTCTACCTGCCAACAGCATGCCTGATGCTAAACTCCATCTACGCCTTCTTGGGCACATATTTTCCACTGACATGAAGTGGGGCGACTATATTGAACTTATTGCTACGTCAACTACTGTGTCGTATCAGAATCCATTTTGCATATTTATAAATCTACCATTCGTCCCTGTATATACTGCCATATCTGGTTTGGTGCTTCAGCTGTATATCTCAAGACTCTTCACTAAATTCAAAGAAGGATCTGTAATTTAATTTATCCTAACCTGGGGTCTCGACTTCAATCACTTTCTCACCGACGTGACGTGGCTTCTTTCTGTCTTTTTGTTGTAACTTAGGAAAGGTTACTGAATAAAATAATCACACGAAGGTTGGTAATGAACGATAATACTTAGAACAAGAACAACACATATAAGATTCGCCAGCAGCGCGTAGAAAAAGTCGTCAACTGCTAGAAGTGAGCCAAGTAAATTCGATAATGAATCTCCAACTGCAGGCTATCTACCAACCACCTCACGCGGTCAGATGGGGCACAAGGCCGAATTTAATGAGGGTATCCGAGCCCGTAGACACGACCAAAAATTCCCCGTAGACCCCCGTACAAAACGGGGTCGGGTAGCTGCTTCCCAAGACGACACCCTGCCCCTTGACACAGCCTCGTCTGGGAATCCTCTCTGCCCGGAGGCAGAGAATCCGACTAGCACAACTGGAGACGAATCTCCAATTGCAGACCAACATACAGTATTTACTACTGTATTTATGTTAATTGGGTCATACCCATTATCATCCGTAGGTATGCGACAACACTTTTCTAAAAATATTTTCATGGCAACTGTTTTGATTAACTCTTTCCCTAGTGTCTCGTCTACATAAATTTAGACGTACAACTGGATTAGCAATTAGGTCTCACTGTTTTACTGTTGAACTGGCAAGATAGAACCGTCACTTTTATTCTAACAGTTTTTTTTCTCCCACTTGTGAAAATCCCTTCCGATTTCTTGCTTCCCTGTTAACTACAATCTTCAGAGATTTAAATGAAAGGTTAACCGCTAAACTTATGTCTTTCTGAACACTGTTTTTTTCTCTCCTCACTCCTCATCCTCGCTAAAATCTTCTCATTCTCTTTTACTCCCAGTAACCCTCTGTGTCCTGGTGCCGTTGTCGCTTTGCTTGAAATGATCTAAAAAACAAAAAGACAATTTATCGTTGCAAGCAATGGGATCAGCCCAAGTTTAGAGTTCAAAATTAAATATATCAAAATTAAGCGAGTAGGGAAATATAAATATCTGGAAGCGTTTAACAGGCGGCGAAAGATGCCTTAGAAAAGCTAAGCAAATGATTAAACTTCGTTAAAAACTAAGAAACGAATGCTGAACTGCTGTGCGATATCAATCCTCGTATATAGCAGTATTTACTAGACATTTCTTTTACAGATGAAAAGTAGACGGGAAACAACAGAAGTGGTTCTCCAGAAGAATGTGGAGAATACCGTGGACGGCACATGTGAGCAATGAGGAAGATGTACAGTCTTCGTTTAGAAGAAGAAAGAACGGAAATTTCTGAGACACGTAATTTGGAAAGAGGGCATACAGAATTTAACACTCACAGGATATACTGAAGGCAGAGGAAAACTTTGTGTAACCCACCCGAGGAGGAGGAAGAATAGGAGACAAACATTAAGACATATACATTTTTATAGTAAAATGACCCACATTAAGATTTTATAGCAAAATATTAGTTTCGTGTAGTGTTTACTTATTAAATTCGAGCTGTCAAAGTGTATACATTCCGTTATATATATATATATATATAATATATATATATATATATATATATATATATATACATATATATATAACATATTAATATAACAAATATATAATATCTATCTATCTATCTATCTATCTATATATATATATATATATATATATTTGGTTGGATAGATGTGAGTTTGTGACCCTGGGTTTCACGCTTTAGCGATCGTCAGACAAACTGATTAATGTTTTAAAAATTTGGGTTTATGTAGATTGGGTGTATTGGTGTTATTGTGAAAGTGGTGGGGAAATTTCGTCGTTTTGTCATTCATCGTACTAACGCAAACATCGATATATGCAGACACATATACATACTTGGTCGTCCGTCGGGACTCATACATATATAAACATATGTGGGCAGTTTCGGCTATGACACATGTATGTATACGGGTGGTGTTATATCTATACATACGCATTTGTATGTTGAAATGTTGAAATTTAAAACATTCGAAGTGTGGCGGAAATGTCTCGTTACTGTATACATGTCATGTAAAGTATTTTCGCGCTGAAAATATTTCCTCGCATGTATGTATATGCGTGTGGTGGGGTTTTGTAAAATTATGATAGGTAAAAATTATTATTATTTATATTTATTTTTAAATTTTGAAAAAAAAAAAAATGGGGGTTTATATATGTTATATTTAAAGCTGGTTATTTGTTTGTTTTTGGTGACTGTGTATATGTAACAGGTAGAAATTTGTAATCCTTATTGGATAATTTATATGGTGATGTTTAGTTTAATATTCAATGTGCTGGGTGAGAGGGTAGTTCAATTTAATAACGGGTCTATATGGTATGATGTGATAGTAATGTTTCAAGGGATTGGAGACAATGATAGTTAGCTAATAGTGGTTGTAAATTGGTAGAAATTGTAAATTGGTAGAAATAATTAGTAACGGTGGTGGGAGAATGATAAAACCATGAATGTAGTTATAGTGGTGGCAGCTTGAACTAAAAAGTGGTTGTTGGTATTTTATTTTATTTTTGTTTTATTTTGTTATATGCATTAATTTATTTTGGTATAAATCCTGATAATAGGTATTCTGTGTAAAATTATGGTAGTTGGAGATTGATATATATATATATATACAAATGAAATGAGAACGAATTAAATATAAATTCAAACATTCATACATTAATTTAAAAATATGACTGGATACAATAGTAGATCGATAAATCTTTCTTATAGGATATTATATTCGAACCTATGTACCCGCTACATCATGGCTGTTTCTTAATCATTTGTATTCAGGTTTCATACCTATCTCATCAGGCGGTGGTAAGTAAAAGTTATTACAATTTTTAATATTTATTTGCTAACAATCTCTTTCCCGTGAAAAAAGAAAAAAAGAAAAGCAATTTAAAAAAGAAAAGCAAAAACGACGTAAGATATAGTTACCGCTAAAAGAAAAAGAAAAGAAAGACACAAGATATATTCTAAAAAAGAAAAGGAGGAAAAGAAAGAAGGATATGAAATACTATCAACTATAAAAAAAAAAAAGAAGAAGAGCGAGAAGGAAAGAAAGATAAGATATAATCCCTCCTCCAAAGAAAAAAGAAAAGAGAAAAAAAAAAATGAAACAAAGATGATATAGAAATGTAAGGAAGCAAAACAAAATATGTTGATAATAAGATAACCAATCAAAATCATCTATGTTAGTTAAGATGTTGATACAAATTCAAATCGAACGTATACAAATGGTCTGCTGTAAACAGAATTAGATACAATGTAACGTCACACGAACGGTT